CCTGACAGAAACACTCGGAAAGACTACCAATTTTTTCTCTAAGACTCTGTGGGTTAAGGGGTGAAAAGTACATAGACTGAAAGTATTTTTCCTATAGGTGTGAGATACTTCTAAGGACTTCTCTGCTGCCTGTTGTGTAGCCGTAGTGTAACTCTGAGTAAACATTAGAGCAACCCGGAGCATCAAAAGAGTCTTGTCTGGATTTCTGTTGTTTACAGTTACTCTTTAACTGCCCCCCAAGTGTGAAATTTTTCAGGTTCCCCCCAAAAGGGATGTAAACCTTTTGCACACTCTTTCAAGCAGGGCTTTGTTTGCAGGCCTGTCACTCAAGCGCCCCAATGAGTCTGGATCATAGATAATGGGGAGCTTGTTCTTTTAAATATAAGTTATGAACATTTGTTCCAACTCCTGCATATTATACATACCGTAGATAGATTCCAGATAAAGTTGTAGAGTTGATTCATTGAAATTAAAAAGATTTGATCCGTTTTAGCTTCCTTCAATTTCTGTGCACTTAATTCAAACTAATTCTGGACTGGCCCCTTACTTTGAAATACTATAATTCCCCTCTCCATGATTTGGAAATGGCTGTAGAAAAGTGGTTAGATTTCAAATGCTGCTAAAATCCAAAGCAGAAATGCTTGTGCTCCTCCAGTTCTTGTGTGAGAACTGATATCAAACAAAATTTGATAGGTGGCAGATCCATCCTGAGATTTCTTGGCATATTTCCCCCCCCCCCCTTTGATTAAAGCAGGAAGGAAAGGATTAGGGCTGCTTTAGCCATGACAGGGTTCTGGTGGAAAAAGAAGTTGAGGATAGGTACCTTCCTCTCCAGCAGCTTTGAGGAAGGCAATTTTCACTACAAAAAAGGATTAACGCCTTCTTCCTGTCTTGTATCTCCAATGCAAAGTGGAACCCCCACAACATCACACACACAGGCTTCCCAGCAGCTGTAATCCAAAGAAAGAGAGCCTTGGATGAATTTGATGTCAAATTTCTCATCACACATAGACAGCCCATGATGGTTGGGGGAGGGGGGGAGGGGAAGGGAGGGAAGAGGGCAGAGGGAACTCCCACCAAAATGTTGAGAACCAGGTACTTTTGAGATCACAAGCTGCCTCAGCATCACAACAGATCTAGCTAGATTTTGGTTGAATATCAAGAAAAAACTTCCTAACTGTTAGAACAGTATGACAGTGGAACCAATGACCTCAAGAGGTCAATGACCTCAAGAGGTGATGAGTGCTCAAATGCTGGAGGTATTCAAGAGAAACTTAGGCAAACACCTGGGAGATTTCCTTTGATTTGGATTTCCGCCTTGAGCAGGGGGTTGGACTTGATGGGAAACACCTGGGAGATCTTTGATTTGGATTTCTGCCTTGAGCAGGGGGTTGGACTTGATGACCTTATAGGCCCCTTCCAACTTCATGATTCTGTGTCTAGTTTGGTCGTGTAGTAGAGGTGTGCTTCCCTGTCTCGGAGCCCCAGATATTGTTGGGCCCCGCTGGCGCGGCCCATGATGGATTCTGCAATGTGGAGTCTATGAACATCTCGGGACGAACCACTCCACTGGAGCAGTATTATTGTCCCTTGCTTTAATGAAGAAATTGGAGAAGACACTCACACCTGAAATCAGAAATATGACAATTGTGTTGGTCACATTTTTTGTTTTTGGTGTCATGCCTGTGCGGTCTGTCCAGAAATTCCATACTGACTGCCAGTTACCAGAGGTGATACTCAACCTCATGAACCACTCAAGCAGGAGACCAACATCAAGACTTCCAAAATTTTTATTTTAGAGGAAAATTTAACTCTCCCGGTGGAAGATCTGAATTTGATCTGAACAGCAGTGATAGGAGAGGGTAGTGATACAGACAATGGCATGAAGCCAGGCAGGAGTGTGAACTGTGGTAACCTTCACTGCAGCTGCGCCCCCCCCTGCAGAACATTTCCTCCAAAACACAACACACACACAGTTGGCCTTAAAAAATCGACAGTGGGGCCCTTGAATTCATGCCCGCCTCACTTCCCACTGTAACACTTCAAAACCACAGCCTCTGGCCCTCCCATGGTCTTTACTTAAAAAAATGGTGAGGAAAAGGGTCAGGATAGCCCAACACATACTATCTTCTCCAACATCTAGCCTTCCCCGCCCCCCATGAGTCTTTAGATTCAGGCCATGAAAAGAGAATCAGTGCAATAGCCTTGACAACAAGCGTGTCGATCCAGGCACTGGACGCAAGGAATGTGAAGAATCCGTCAGTCTCATTCATGTTGCTTTTCTTAGTATTCCATCAGCATTCCCTTTTCATATTGGCTGCTTATCGTGTAGTGAAACATCTTCCCTTTTTTGTGTGTGCAGAAATGTAAAAAACAAACAACACAACAGATTTCTCCTCTGCATGTTCCCTTTTTTAATTATATTTTTGGATTCATTTTCCCCCCCCTTGAATAAAAATGACTGTCACCATTTCTGAAATGTATGCCTTTCTAATTGTGTGTGTTTCTGGAAGGTGTAGGTGGCTTGCTTTCTTTTGAGTTTTCCAGATGTTGCAAGATTTGCAAATTGACCAACAGGACAAGGTGCCTCCACTCCCCTTGTCTCTGGAGGTGTGAACGGGAGATTTTTAAAATAGGGAAATGTAAATCCAATCAGTCCCCTCTCTTGGCTGCTAGTTATCCTAAATGCTTGGGTCTCACCAAGCTCAGTTAATTCTTTTATTCCATCAGGCCCACTTGATAATATAGGACTGTCCCACTGATGACATCCACAGAAAGCAGAGCATGTCTCAAGATCCAAGTGCTACGAAGAAAACAGCACCACAACCATGGAACTACAGTATATATATATATATAGTTGTGAATATTCCAGAATGTATTCTGCTTTGGCTGTTGATTCTTGGATGTTTCCCCAGCGACCTTGGGCGAAGTCACTCCTGCCCGACTTAACTAGATACGTTACTCTTAAGGGCAGATGCCACACGGAAGCTATTCTGCTGTGGGCACATGGTGACCAGGTAAGACTCACGGGGAAAGACAAGAAGGCGGAGAAAAAAGGGGAAGTACATTACTCTTAAGGGCAGATGCCACGCGGAAGCTATTCTGCTGTGGGTACATCGTGACCAAGTAAGACAAGAAGGCGGAGAAAAAAGGGGAAGCCGCAGCAGGAAAAGAGGAAGACAGAGCACAGGGCGGTGGATCGATCCAAAAAAAGGAATCCACGGGCTTGAGTTTGCAAGACCGCAGCAGGACCGTCTGAAGGTCCCTAATTCAAAGAGGAAGCGACTCGACAACAAACCAGTGCCCACGAGGGCTATGAAGACCGATCTCAGGTGCACGCCAACACACGTGCACGGCCGTCTTAGCTCCTGAGGAAATCCCCCATGAGAGCGTGTGAACCCTAACCCCACAACAGCGCCGAGACGAGTAACCACCAGCTTCCTCAGCTTCCCCCCCCCTCCTTCGACCTCCCACCCAAGCCCAGCCCAGCCCAGCCCAGTCTTCTGGCGCGCGTCCCGACGAACGGGCGGCTTTCCCCCCCCATCGGCTCAGGGTTCTCTCAGCCCCGCCCCTGCCCCCGCCCCCTTCCT